AAAGGAGGGGAATGGAATTCAAATTTCCCCCTAAAAGTTGGCCCCTCCCGGATACAAAATCTGGGGCGAAACAGAGGGCATTTTTGTAAAGTACTTGGAGAGAGGATCATGGCCGGCCGATTTCCTAGGGTTTAGGTGGCCGGTCGGCCTTCCCCATGGCCAGTCGGCCAAGAGTCAAAAGGGTCAATGAAGGTTAATGGCCGGCCATGCCAAAAAAGGGCCTCTCATGTGTGCACAACACAACGATGTGGTCAAAAATTGGAGAGAATGAACCAGGAGAGAGAAAAGGCCACTTTTAGGAGGGGTTCAAAAGGGTCACACACAATTATTGGCCGGCCATATGATATTGGTGGCCTCCCAGGTGTGTACAACACAAATATGTGGTTTGGGGCAAGAAAAAGTGGCCTTAGGGTGGTCAACATTGGCTTTGAAGTGGGAAAAACGGGCGACGGAGGGCGATGGAGGAATAAAACATGGTTGTCAGAACAATTGCTGGCCTCCCACCCTTCTATGACCTTCCTAACAATGAAACAGAGGTCCCTGCCAAAAATGAACTCAAACTGATGCAAAAATGGAGGTTCGGTGGTCGAAACGCGCAGCTTGAGGCCCCGTAAACTGACTGTTAGGCACCGGAAGTGGTGTTCGACCACGAAGTTGGTTTTTCAGACTCCAGTGTCTTTCAAAAGGGAGTAAATAAGATGCATGCCAAATACCGAAGCAAACAGAGGTGGTTAAGTGGTCCCGAACAGAGGCACACGGCCAACGGCTCCGAAAAACCAGAAACCGGATTCCAAACGGGCAAAATGGCCTACGACCACGAAACGTAGCCTACGGCCACTGAGAGATAATCTACGAGACCTCTCTCTCCCTTCTGGAAGAGAAATAGAGAAAATCAAGCCTGGTTCGCGAACCGAGACAAAGTACGCAAGAGCCCTGAAGTCCGGAGGCAAGGCTCGTAGTCGAAACTTTGAAACCTCAGAACGAGAACAATATGCAACATCATGAAGCGCTCAATCGGTGACGTCTGAGTCTTAAGGTCGGTCAAAAATGGGGTGTCTACAGTTGCCCCTCTTTGACAGAACTCGGAAGTCATAAGTGACGGGAGTGAATGTCAAAGCCTAGAGACGACCCATTTTTGACAAGGCTGAAGACTTAGACAAACATACAAAATAACAAATATGTGCCCACAGGCATGCCCGCAGGCAGGGGCAAAATGCAAAATGATATGCACAAAGTCGAATGTAGGTCATGATCATGCAAATGCAGCAAGCTGTAATGAGGCAAGTATTCGCAAATAGATGCAACAGTTTTAAGCAAGAATGCAAAGCAACAACTACATTTCATGCAATTAAGAATGCAGAGAATTTATTCAATTCTCGTCGCGTCTCACACGGAGAAGATACGATACCTGCACGATTCGTCTGGTCGCACCAGCCTCAAATGAACCGTACATACAATGTCGTGCCTGCAAAAGAAAGAAACTCAACAAGCACAACAGATCTAACAACATAGGTTCAATGTGATATCGAATGCAGACAATCGCGGTGCCGATGGAAAAGTGCATCGCAATGCAGGAAGGAACGCGCGTGACGACGCGAGTTTAAGCACGGAGGCTCGGTGATATCAAAGAGACGTCCATAACAATGCAAGTATGTGCATAAGAATGCAAGTCACGTGCATGATAACGCAGAACAAGCGTAAACCAGGATGTATATTTGTCCCAAAACAATGAGCAAGGAAATGCGCGTTTCGGCGAGGGCGACTCGATCGCGGCCTCCGGTTCACCTCCTGGAGAGGTTACAACTTGTTCAAAAGGATATATCTCACTTTCGATGAGTAATGATGAGACGCACATCGGGAGTTGAAGCAGAGGTTCCGGCAGAGCGATTTCGCAACAGAAAGTGCACTTCTCTTGTACTTTTTCAGGTCCCGGAGACTCCAATCCTCCCCAAAATTTACAGAGAGTTTGGTGGGCATCTTGGGAACACCACCGGCTAGTTTTATGGCAAGGGGGAGGCCAGCGGCCAGCTTTGAGGGAGAGGGGTGGCCGGCCTGCCAGAAAAGGTGGCTGGTCGGCCACCTAGCCCAGATTCGGGGCAATTTTGTCTTTTCAGCCTCTTTTCTTTAAATACACTCATCCAAACACTTTGTGCTAACAAGTGCAGCTCCGAAAACATCTCCTTTACCTTCCCAAACCATCTTCTCTCTCAGATCTGTGCTCTACACCCGTTTTCCAACGCCCCACGCAAGTTGTTTTTGTGAAATCTTTCAGTTTTAAGCACTTTGAACCGATTAAATTTTGATTTCGGGGCTTCTTTTCTCATTTTCGCCACTTGAGGTGAGTTTGTCTCAATATTTGGAAGATTTTCTCGGGAGTTGACTTTTGTTGACTTTTCATTTTCCGAGAGTTGACTTTTTCCAATTTTGGCTTATTTTTGCTCATTTTTGCCCCTTTTTGCAGATTTTCTGAAATGGCTGGTCATTTCCCCTATGGTGGAGGTCCTCCGGACGCCGGAGGTGATCCCGATATCATGGCTCTGCCTCCGAGGGTTCGACCTTTCATACCCGAGAGGTACGACCCACCGGCACATATTCTTCCGTGGGCTATTTTCTATCAATTCACCGATTTCGACGAGCGAGCACCCGGGGATCTCCTTCTGCGGGAGCCAGAGTATCACCTCTCCCATGAGGCACGAGAGGTATTTACTTCGTTTTTACCTTTTCTGTAACATATTATGAATTTTTCATGCATTCTGTTTGCACTCTGAACACACGGTTCAATCACTTGAATTCCTGAACACTCAGCCCATAAATTGATTGTGAACACACGGCACACATCGGTTGAGGGTTGAACACGCAACCCACACACTGATTTTCTAAATACATAGTCCAAATTGAAGGTGAACACGCAGCACACACTGATTGAGAGTTGAACAGGCAGCCAAAACACTGATTGTGAGTTGAACACGCAGCCCAAACATTGATTTTCTGAACACACAGTTCGAATTGAAGATGAACACGCAGCACACACTGATTGAGAGTTGAACATGCAGCCCAAAACACTAATTTTCTGAACACACAGCCCAAATTGAAGGTGAACACGCAACACACACTGATTGAGAGTTGAACACGCAGCCCAAAACACTGATTTTCTGAACACACAGCCCAAATTGAAGGTGAACACGCAGCATACACTGATTGAGAGTTGAACACGCAGCCCAAAACACGGATTTTCTGAACACACAGCCCAAATTGAAGGTGAACACGTAGCACACACCGATTCTGAACACGCAGCACACTTACTTTACTTTGCCTATTCATTTTACTTTGCCGATTCTGAACACGTAGCACACATGTAGCCTATTCATTTTATTTGCACACAGCTTATTCATTTTATGCTGAAACATGTTTTCATTCTGAATAGAGGTGACTTCTCGCACTGTGCGGAGATATGGCTCTACCGCGGCGAGAGATTGGTACGCCGAGCTCCCGGAGGCTGTTCGGGATTTGGTTGACTTGGTGGGGTTTGGGCCCTTCTGTATTGGGCTATCTCGTTGTCCTGCCAGGAGGACGTTGATGGCCGCCTTGGTGGAGAGATGGTGGGACACCACCAACTCCTTTCATTTTTCTGCCACGGGGGACTTGATTATGACCCCGTTTGACTTTGCCGTACTGACTGGCCTTGACGTGGGAGGTTGGCCCATCTCTTACGATGAGGACATGGGCCAGTGGGAGGCTGCTTGGATATATTTGCTGGGGGTTCGCCCGCTTGTTGATAGACCTTCGGGGAGAGTCCGATACACCTGGTTCTCTTCCCATTTTCGGCGGGTGGAGATGGAGCCCGGGACTCCTGAGGAGGCAGCACAATATGCCCACAGCTTTCTGATGTTCCTCTTCGGGACCACTTTGTTTGCCAACAGGGGGAACACTGTTGGGCTTTATCTGTTGAGTGCTTTGGTGGACCTGTCACAGGTCAGACGGTATGACTGAGGTGGCGCTGGCTTGGCTACCCTTTATTGCTACATGAGCGCGACCTCCCGCGGACGGGGGGACTTACTTGGCAGCTATTGGAGAGCCTGGGAGGTACTTTCTGCCCTCTTGATTTACATTTCTGCTCCTCATTACCTGCACATTGCACACACGGCGCACTTTATACTCTGTATCGTGCACTTTGCCCTCAGCACTTTGTATTCTGCTTTGTTTTCCACAATTGTGGGTCTATGTGTATTTCCCGACATTGGCCCCGGAGTTGGTGGTAAAGGGACCTCTCGTGACCCCGTACTCACTTGTATTTGAAGGCCAGCACCGGCCAAGACCTCGGGAGTCTCTCCTTTATCTGCGGCAGTACTTCGACACGGTGCGGTCAACGGAGGTATTTTAGAACTCTCAGTTCTTTCTGTTTTCATCTTTGATTTGTCCTGTACACTTTCAATTTCTGCTTGGTTTATGCGTCTATTATCCGTAGATTACATGGCAGCCCTGGGCGCCTTTAGGTGAAGGTCTCTGATTCCAGTTTGTCGGAGGGTGGGGTGTCTCCCGGTACAGGATCCTGTTCGAAGGGCCAGTTGGTAGGGCCTGGTTTTTAGGGGACCGTTTCTTGCGTCAGGTCTGGGGGTACACTTCTCAGGACCCTCCCTCAGCACCCCCAGTCGATATGCGGATTGCTGATAGGCTCTCTTCCCGGGATGTTGTTAGTGCTATGCTGGGTACTGATGCTTTGCTACATCTTGAGGAGGGGGATTACGCTACTTACCGTCACATATACCTGATGCCTCCATTGACGGGAGTTCATACTCCGACGATGAGGCCTGCTGGCATGCCATCTTCGAGCCAGGCCCGGGCTCGGGTTGCAGACGCCCCTTCCACCAGTAGGGCTGGTACATCTAGAGGTGGGGGTGGATTGGTTCCCCCGATTCCTCCGACTTATCCTCATCCTGGATGGCCGGACATGCCGACCGAGTTGATGGGGTGGCAATATGGGACTACCTCTCCAATTCTGATCCCGATAGAGCCTCCGATGCCCGGCCATCGATATGTCAGAGACCCCGACTCACCACCGGTATGTTTTACGGCTTTGATTCATTACTAAGATACTTGGACGTTCATTCCTTTACTGATACCCTTGCCTTTGCATCTGCAGCCCCCTGTTGAGTACATGGATCAGGTGCTCGAGATGGTAGCCTCACTTGAGAGGATGGTCCTACGGAGGGAGGCGCAGTTGTCCATCATGGGCTTCCAGGTACCCTTTAGTTTTCTGGCATTTATGATACTTCTGATGATATGCTGATTTCTACTGCATTGATAGGCTACTTGTGTAGAGCACATCTGACACACACCTCACTTATACACTGTGTTTACATGTACCCAGTTCATGTAGTTTTCTTGTATCTGCATCTGATGTACATATTTAGACTGATGTATTTAAATTGAACTCTTTATTCTCAGATGCCCCCGGTATATGCTTAGGCGCAGGCCAGGCCACCTGGGCCTTCTCGGGGAGGTGGACCATCCGGGCCTTTTCGAGGAGCTGGGCCATCTGGGCCTTTTTGAGGAGCTGGAGGGGGGGTCGTCTCGTAGACGCAGAGCACACATTGTAGAGGAGGAGCCCGATGAGGATGAGGAGGAGGAGGCTGCAGATCATCAGTCGGAGACACCTGCTGACAGAGAGGACGGCTCCGGCCTTGGTTCCAGGAGTGGAGGCGAGGCTGAGGGGGATCCGGAGGATGACGACTCCGATTCAGATGATGATGATGGCGATGGTGGCGGAGAGTCTATTCCGCAGAAGAGGGCAAAGAGGGCCTCTTATTCCTGCTCTTGAGAGCCCAGATGCGGCTGTTTCCTGTTTTATTTATCTTTTTGCTAGTAGTTGTAGCACATTCTACATTATTGGGCAGTTTTATTCTTTGTAAAACTTGTGCGTTAGTCTGTAAAATGTTGTAACAAGCGAGGCATGATGGAATGAAACAGCCTTTGAAAAAAGTGTTGTATTTTAAACTCTTAGCATCATATCGCATCATTTTGCACCATAATGAGATAGAATGGAAATGTGCATTGTGCATTTTGCCCAGTCAGGTAGTGAACCGACGCAACAGCTTAACTTTCTAAGATATAACAAAACCTTAGCAAGTTTACAACTCGATAAGCAAAACACAATAGTGTTGACAACTCAATAAACAAGACTCAAACAAAAATTGCTTAAACAAAGAGTAACAACTCAAAAACACGAAACACGACAGCTCGACAAACAACTCGATAAGCAAAACGACAACTCGATAAACAAAACAACAACTCGATAAACAAACTTTAACAAAACAAAGTGTACTTCGGACGATCTGGGCAACGGAACGCATCCAAAACAGAGGGAAATAGAGGCCTTCGACACACCCGTTGCATGGAAATGCTTGAAACTTTCTCTTGGAGGGTAAAACAGGGCTAAAGACACACATTGGAGCATGGCCGGCTACTTTTGGGAGCCGGCCGGCCAGATTTATTGCAAAGGGGAGGCCACCGGCCAGGTTTTTAAAAAAAGAAATGGCCGGCCTGCCAGAAAAGGTGGCCGGCCGGCCACTCAGCTCAGCAACCGTCAAATTTTTAACACTTGTCCCCCGAATAGTGTCTTTTCCTCTTTAAAAGCCTTAGCTCCGTGGTTCATTCAATTCATCTTAGTTTTGCACAAAAATGGAGGCGTTTTTCGTTGAAAATCTCACAGCTTGGATTGCTTCTCTAGATGGTTCGGAAAAGTTAAACTTCCGGGGTTTCGGCTTGAATGCACTATTCGCGCTAAGTCGCACTCCGCTGCACCTTCCTTTCCTCCATGCCGCGGCGAGGTTTTGGAACCCGGTGACGCATGTCTTTAGCTTTGGCGGGCAAGAGGTATGTCCAACTTTTGAAGATTTTCAAGTTTTGATGGAATCTGAATGTCATGAAGAGATCTTGCCCCAGTTCCGCTTTGGCCACGCCCAAGCTTTAGGGCGGATGTGTGGACTCACCACGCATGACGCTCAGTCTCTGATCTTATAATGGGGAACTGGATATCCTCGGTTTGATTCATCGCTTTTCTGAAGCTGGTGACCGTAGCAACCATTATTGGCAAGGTTTCTGGCAACACGCCATTTGCTTGTGCCTGCTGTCTCATTTTCTGCTTTCCCCGGGCTTTGGCGGATTTAGCATTCGTCTGATTGAAGTTGCTCAAGGGTTGAAAGAAGGAAAGAGCTACATCGCCATGACCTTGGCCGAGACACTGATGGGCTTGGATGCTATCTATTGCCAGGAGACGACTAGATTTGCTGGGAGTCCACTGCTGCTACAGGTAATGTTTCCCACCCAATCTTACATATGTATTTGATCACATCACTCGGCCCTCAGGCTCAGTTTTTCTCACAAAAACCCTTTTCTCACTTTTCTCTCACCGTACATCTCTCTATTCTTTATTCTCTCATTTTTCATCCCTCCCCAGATATGGCTTATCGACAAACTGAAAGTAGTGGACTTTTGCCCTAGATATCCAGCACGAGGCTATTTCTTTCGCCAACGGCTAGTTGATTTCCTGAACAAAGGGTGATGGTGCCATTGGATGTGCAATAGGTCTGCTGCTGACATTGCTTGGCGTTGCCCCTGGTTTGATCTGCCAGAGATAAGCTACAGCATGGCTCAACAACTTGGCATTCAGCTGATTGGCTTGACACACTGTGTATTCTACTTGCCACTCAGGTTCAGGCATCAGTTTGGACACAACCAGACTTACCCAGAAGATGGGGTAGAGTACCCGACTTCATTCTCAATCTAAGGTTCACAATTGGCTCGATATCCCACTGCTTGGAGGACAAGACAACTCCTGGCTCCCGCTCCCAATTTTAGTTGTGCCCTTTCTGGTGAGTGCTTGACTTGGCTTGAAGATGAGGCGCAAACTG